GGGCCGGGGCGGGCAGCAGGAATGCGGGCAGCGCGGCGGGCTCCCGGGTCCGTGCACGGAGCCAGGCACAGGGACGGGAAAGTTTATGCGAGGGAGGAGCAGAAAGTTGGGAGTCAATCAGGAGGCGGCGGGGCCGGGCTGGGCCTCCTCCTCCTCCCCTAACCTCCTTCTCCACCTCCTCCTCCTCCTCCTCCTCTTTTTCCCGGCCCTTCCTCCCGCCCGACTCTCCCGACCTCCCCGTCGGGGCAGCGGGCAGTGGGGACGCGGGACTTCCCTTACACAGGGAAGTTTTTTTTTGGGGGGGGGAAAGGGCATCCCTGGAGTTCGGCTCGGCCCGGCCCGAGTTATGGGAGCGGCCTCTATGAGCCTTCTTCACCTTCCTCCTCTTCCCCCTTCCCCCTCTGGCATTCCCGGGATGCAGCCTGGGATGTGGCCTTGGGCCAGGGCACGAAGGTGCTGCTGTCTCATCTTGTCCTGTCCCGTCCGCAGCCAGCCAGGGTCACCCGTGCACACCTTCATCCATTTCTGCACATCTTCATCACCCTCTGTGCTCACCTTCATCCCACTCTTCATTCCTGCCCTGCTTCACTCACTATCATCCCTGTGCTCACCTCCATCCCCTTCTGCACATTCTCATTGTCCTCTGCACACTGCCCTACCACACATCTTCATCCTCCTGTTAGTTCCCATCCTGACATCTGCATCCCCCTCCAAACACCTTCATCCCTCTCCTCATCCTCACACACACATACCCACACCGTGACCACGCTGCCCAGGGTGGGGATTTCAGCCCATGCTGTTGGGATTTCTTAAGGGAATTCAGCCAGGATCCAGGCCATGGTCACTTCCTCTGGGTGAGCTGATGGGTGGTAATGTGCTAAGCCACAGCAAAGCAGATCACATACGAGTCCCTGGCCACAACCCAGCCTGACCATCAGGAACTGCAGCCCCAAAAGGGGCAAAACCCTCAGTCCCCAAGGCCACTGGGCCAGCACACACCACAGGCCTGTGCCACAGTACCCAAAACCCCCAGAGATAAATTAGGGTGAGGAATCCTCCCGGCGCCCTGATTGGAGAAGGGATGTTCTTTGCATCCCATTCCTTCTAGAAACATATTTTTCTAATTTTCATCATGAGCTTGGTTGTATTCAAGCATTTTGGGACAAGACAGCCAATGCTTCAGTCTATGAAGTGACAGGCTCTGAAGCATCCAGCGCATTCAGCAATTGTGGGTGATTCATAAAGCCGTATCACATTCTTCCACCCTTGGCCTGCTGCTAACTTGTAAGAAATCTGGACCAAAAACTGCAACAAAATGGCTGTTATTCTCCAAGGGCTGTTCAGAGCCTCGTTACTCATCCCTTACTTGGGCAAAAATGACATTGAGTGCTCCTGGAGATGACAGCTTTAATTGAGTTCAATAGGAGTTTAGGCTGAGTAAGGCATGAGCAAACAAGTGTGCATTAGCCCATGAATAAAAAGCCTGATCCACAAATGTTTAGGAACACATGTAACACTGAGCAGGGGAGTGCTGAGGGGGTCACTGCTGCTCTGGCCTTGCCATTTGGGCAGGGGTCTGGCTACAGCATCCAGCACAACTGATAGTGATGCTGGGATGAGCTTGTTCAGGAGTGCAAAGATTCAAGGCTGGCTCAGTGGTTTGTTTCCATTCTGCCTCTTAAATTTTATTTATTTGCCTGCTTCAGAAGTCCATAGTCCTTGTTTCTGCTATTTTTTTTTTGTCCGCTGGTGGGAACAGCAACTTCCTTTCTCAAATTATAATATAAAAGAGCTGCAAGCTGCAACGCCATAAATAATATTTTCTTATGGCCAGAACATCCAAGTCTAGGCAAGACACCAAGAACAGCTACAACATTGTAAAACTCCAACACTTCTCCAGAATGGATTCACTAATTAAAAAATGACTCCTTTTAAAAAGCAGTTGAAAAATATTGGCTTTCCCATTGCTGCCTGTGGCTTGCTGCATCGAGAAGGAGCCCATCCTGCAAAGCCACAGCCGAGCTAGCCAGCAATGAGTCTGCCTTTCCCTCTAAAAATTGTTACCAAAATAAATACAAGGGGAGGGGGAGGGAACAGAAGAACACCTCGTCACAATAACTTCTTTTTTTAATTAAAGTATCACCACTTCAAAGCTGGAGAGAGATCCTGCAGGGCTGGGGCCAGGGCAGCTTGCTGGGAACCAAACAGCTCCAGCCCTTCCACTGCTGGACAAGGAGTTTCCCAGGGCTGGTCTCCCCTCCTGCACCCCCCAGGATGTCCCAGCCCTTCCCTCCTTCCTTCCCGCTGGGACGTTTGCCTCCTGGGACCCATGGAAATATCTATCAGCCCCCTCAAGAGAGTGGGGCTCAGAACTGGGTGCATGGAGCCCCCCAAACCCCAGGCGTCTGCGGAAGAGGGAGAAGCCAGCAGCTGGAGAAGAGCCCTCACATCCACCTTCCTGCTCAGCTCTGGAGCAGCATCTTTCCACTCATCAGCATGGGATGGGGATGAACCCCGGAGAGAGCTGCCAGCATTGCAGTGACACTGCTCCTGCCTGGGATGCGCTGTTCAGCACCGAGGTGGGGCCTTATTTTTTTCCTCCCCTTTGCCTTATAAGCATCTCTGAAAAAATAAAACGCATTTCCCAGGAGGTTCCCTTGAGGAGCTGACGACAGTCACCTCTGGCCACTGGCCATGCTTGTGCCCCTGCACAAACACTTTGTGGGGTTAAATCCATGCCTGCAGCACCAGCCCAGTGCCAGTGCCCCTAAAATGAAGCTTCAGAAACCTCAAAGTCTCACATTGCAGGGAAAACATTATCCCCGGGGATTGAGGAAACCCTTTCTCCAAGGAATACACACACTTTGGACTCAAACACCATTGATAAGGCTCTTTCTTCTTTTTTTTATCTTTTCTTGCTGCGAGCATTCCTTTCACACCCACGCACACCCCAGCATCCTCAGCCATTGGTCTGCCGGCGCATCCGTCACACTTTCCGCCGGCCAAAGTAGATACACATTTCAACTGCTTCCATCCCTCATCTCCTCTGGTGTTAACAGCCAGCGCAAACAAAGGGCCCAAATATCCATCGCCCTATTAAATTGTTTTCATTTGTTTCTTCTGCCACAGTTGGTTTGAGTTAGAGGGTTTGTAAAAGGGATTTCGGGTGGGCTGATGCAGCGGCTGCTCTGAGGTTGAGTGACACTGCATGGGACACCCATGGCAGGGACTTTGCTCTGCCATGGGCAACAGGCCAGGAAACCTGAAGGGTTTACAGGCAACAACGGGCAAATGGAAAATGGAAATGTTTTAGGTGAGGAGAGGGAGAATCAACCTGGGGATAACAGCAGACAGAACCTGGGGAGCCCAAACCCCTCTCTCTCACCCTGCTGCTTTTCTCCTTGCATTGGAGGAAATGGGGACAAGTATTAGCTCAACCGTTAGCTGAGCTCGTCCCGATTTCAAACAGATGTTGGGTTTGTGGCTGGATTTGGGCAGAAAGCTCTTGCTTTCCCCACATTTGCTGGCCATACCTCACCAGGGATGCTGGCCCTGAACTGCTGTGGCTGGTTCTCCCTCTGGCTCACAAGATGTTCTCTGAGTGTGTATAATGGGTGACGTCCCACGCAGGCTGGCTTGTCCCCAAGCTGTCCACCTCTGCCTGCCCCACCACGAGCATCTGCCTGTGAATCATGAAGCCCAGATTCATACAGCTGGGGAAAGTCTCCACTCCCATCTGCAAAGGGGCAGATGTTCACCAATGGTCCCCCTGTCACTGTCATCTGCCCTCAGCCCCAAGCAGACAGGCCAGGCCACGGTGATGTTGTGACACTGCCCAGAGAGGATGAGCATCCCTCTTGCACAATCACATCCATCTCATCCATCTGCTCCTCAGCCTTTCTGCTGCAGCTGCCTTTCAGCTGCATTAACCTGGGGGGCTTGTATCACCCCAGAATTGGGGAGCAACCCCTTTGTGTCCTGGGAAGGGAATCCCACATGAGTCAGCAGGAGAGCTGAGCAGGTGAGAAAAACGTGACCAGAGAGCTGAGGACAGTGTTCCAAGGCTCCTTGTCATGTCCCTGTTTTTCTCACCACTGAATTAATCAGATTTGGGACTGTTTGTGCAGCCAAATCCTCACCCCATAACTGGTGAAACTGGGGGCATGAGCGGTCCTGCTCCCACTGAGCTGCCTCTCTTCAGCATCTCCCCTTCCCAATGCCTCCTTGCATTGGTGTCACCCCAGCTCCCCACCAGCCTGAGGCAGGGGATGGCACCTTCTGTCCATCTCTCGTCAACAGAGAGCACCAGTGAGGCAGCTGTGGGGACATCTGGGCACGTGGGGTCGGCAGGGGCGTCACAGAGCAGAGGAGCAGCGAAAGCTGAGGGCACAGGGAGCTCAGCAGGGCCTGTCTGGGTGCTGAGCGTGACTCAGCACCGCACCACACCTCATGAGTCACTCCATTGCTTCCTGGTGCACCCTGAGTTTTCTCTTCCAGGTCTCTCCTGGCAGCATTGACCCAGCTGGGCCACCTGCCAGCAGTGCAAGCTCTGTCTCATGTGCCTGCCAGCCCTCCTCTGCTGGCACTGTCACCCCTCAGCACGTGCCTGTGCGCTGCTGGTGCCAGGCTGCTTCTTAGGGACCCAAATCCCCAGCATTTTCTGGGCAGTGTGGTGAGACCCACTGCGTACAAACACACCATGGGCACCAGCCATCCCCTCACACCAGGGCAAAATGGGGCCAAAGAGGGGCTTTGTGCCTGGTGGCCAATGAGCTAGGATGGGGGTCTTTAGCTGGGAGCTTAGGCAGAGCCCACCTGCATGTGGGTAGGGATGAGAAAACACAAAGTGGGGAGACCACCTACTCCTTTCTCACTGGGAGAAAGAGCATAAAGATCCAAACCATACAAAAAAAAAATAATAAAAGCGGGGTGGGGATGAGTTTCCAGGATCTGAGTCCAAAGAGATGAGACAGGGATTGCAGTCAGCCTCTGCTGAATATGAATATACCTCCAGCTTGGCTCTGCCATCACCCCAGCCCAACAATTTGCCACGAATTTGCCTGGAGAGAGTGGCTGCAGCCAGGTGAGCATCCTCGGTGGGAACCAGATTCCTTGAACCACCCCAGGAACAACCGTGACTGCAAGAAGGTGAAAATGCAGGGAGCGGAACAGGACAGGGATGCAGGAACATCCTCCGGGCACGGGCAGGCAGCCCCGCTGGTGCAGGTGCTACTCGCAGGCCAGCTTCCCGTCAAAGCTGGAGAGGGCGATGGCAAAGGCCTGCACGGCACACAGGGGGTAGTTGTAGTCCATGGTGAAGGCGTCATCCGCCACACGCCCGAACTGCATCACGATGTACTCGGCTGTGGGAGAGAGGGAGAGCCACTGGGGCAGCGCTGGGGCACCCAGCCTGCCTTCCCCCAGAAAGGAGCTGCCCACGCACCTCCACCCAAACTCAGTCTGCTGCTCCTGCGCCGGTACTGCAGCACCAATCACCAAAAAGCATAATTGTCCCATTGCACGGGCCGTGGCACCCTTTGGTGCCTCCAGCACCCCCTTCCCTGGTTGCCAGAGCCCCCCAAGGGACAGGGACCCCACTCACCCCACCCCCCCCGGACCATGAGATTGCCGCTACTGGAGAGTGGGTGACAGGAAATCTGTAAAAATAACCAGGGGCCCTCAAGAGGCTTTTTCTGTCCCGTAATCCAACACCCCGGAGGCCAAGAGCTTCTGACTGCGCCGGACAGGTGACAAGCAGCCGCATCCAGACAGAGCTGCTGCCACCCCCGAGGGACCGTCCCCGCGCACCCCAGGGTGAGCCTGCCAGCAGTGTGGGGTGTGTGCTGGGACAGTGCCCTGTGCTGAGTGGGTGGCTGCAGTGTCATGGGGGCTCAGCACCCCACAGGATCTGTCCTTGCCCTAAATCTGCCTGGCAACAGAAGCCCCTGCCAGCTCCTGTGGGGTGCCTGTCCAGCTTCATCCCAGCTCCAGCAAAGGCAGGCAGGACCCCAGAGCATGAAAAAAGTCATCAAAAACAGTGGGGCCAGCTCATGAGGCAGTGCTCCCCCACCCTATCCCCTGTCCCATCCCATCCCAGCTTACGGTCACTGCTGTGCACGATCTGGAAATTTTTGACGGAGGCGTGGGTGACCCGGCCGTGGAAATTGAGGACGTAGGATTGGGTCTCGTCGTTCCACACTGGGGCTTTGTTGTGCAGCTCAATCACGTTGTCCATGTTCCTGTTCTGCCATCGCATCAGGAGGCCATCGTTATCCTGGAGAGGGGCAAGAGGGGAGTGCAGCAGAGTTGGGGTGACCCCTCCAGAGCCCTGTCACCTCCTGTAGCCTGCTGGGGAATGCTCTGTAGCAGTACCCAGCTGGAAATGGGATCATGGAGAAAAAACCACAGACACAATGTGTCACTTCCCAGGGGCACCTTGAATTTCAGGGATACCAGAAAGCCTCTCCATGCCTCAATATGGGTAAAATCCAAGGCGGTGCCCAGCAAACCCAGCTCCCAAGGAGTTTCTCCAAGTCTGACCCTGACTTACGTTCCGGGGCCGGATGGGCACCCTCTCACAGTCAGCGTTCATCCCAGGGATGATGACAGTCATCTTCCGGGGGCCTTTGAACCCTAAAACGTTGGTCTCCTGCAAGAGAAACCGTCTCTAAAACCAGCAACCACTGCAGGTTACAGCCTCTCGGGGAGCTGAATGAGAGCTCAGGGGTGGCTGCAGCCCATCCCACATCTCTGCAAGTCCCAGTGAAGGGGTGCAGGGTGGCAGGGGTTCCCTGTGTGGCTGCTCTTACGTAGACCACGGCCGAGAGTTCCTGCCGTACGTTGGACCAGTCAGCATTGGCCCTGTCGGGGTTGGTGCCGTTGTCGAACACGGTGAACCTCGTACCCATCAGGTTGGACCTGCAGCCAAGGGTGGGAGATGGCCGTGCCTGATGCCACTGAGTCCCCTCCTCCCTCCCCCGTGACCCATCTCCAGGCACAGCCTTGGCTTTGGTCTGGCTGCAAACCCCTGGTGCTGCACCCCACCAATGCTGACATTCCCACTCTCCAGTGATTTTCTTGGGCTCAGGGAATCCATAAATCGGGGTGTGATAAGGTGCTGCCACCATGGGGACCCCCAGCATTGCTGTGGCTGCTGGCAGTGCGGGCTGGGACTTGCCAGGTGCCTTTTCTAGCCATGACCTGTCTGCTGGGAGGAACCGGCCAAGCTTGTTTTCCCCTCTCAGCCCCTCACCACTCCTCAGGTCAGACACAGCAGAATGCTGAATTTAGCTTCCTGCCTGCCCCAGCCATAGCTTGGGACAGCCTCTAAGCCATGGAGTGGGAGGAGGGTGCTGCAGAAATGGGGTGCTACCAAACTGGGGTATCACCTCTGCTCCTACCTCAGCTTCCCGATGAAGTTCTCTCCACCCCGTGACAGGTCAGTGGGGTCAATGGAGATGAGGTAGTTGGAGGTTTTGCTCTTCTTACGCTTCCTCCCAGCAAGGAGGAACACCTGGTAGAGCGGTGAGACCGTGTGGGAATGGGACATTGTCACTGCCATGGCCACTGCTGTCCCCCAACAAGTCACTGCCATGACCTTGAGCAAGTCATGAAGATGATGCCCAAGATACTGTCTGCATTACAGGGCAGGAGGGGCTGAGACCAGCCCAGCTTTAGCTCTCTAGCCACTGTAAGCTCATCATCCCAGGTACCATCCATGGGGGTGTTTCCTGGGAGGAATGGCAGGAGAGGGGAGCAGCCTCATTCAGGACACACCAGCACAGGGAGATGCAGGTGAGCATCCCCCCAGAACCCTGAGTGTGCTCCCTGGGATGAGCAGAGCCCCAGGGGTCTCTATGCCCCCACCCCAAATCACCTTTTTGTCGTTGTCCAAGTGAAGGTAATAGGTGGGGTAAAGTCCCCGGTCCATGCCCTTCTTGTCCCGTGTCACCCGGCACTTGATGGTCACCCCCTGCGGCGCTGGCTGCAGCACAAACTCCTCCAGGTTGTCCACCTCAATGACAGGGGACGGGGGCCTCTCCTCCTTCTGCTGCTGTGTGAGAGGATGGTGATCCCAGAGCCCCCCTCCTTCCCCATCTAATTGCTCCTTGCTATCCATCCCCCGGGCTCTGGTGGCTTTGGGGACGCTCTGGTGGGTCTCACTGGGGGATGCTGCAAAACTGACCCACCCTGAGGGGAAGAGCTGCTCTTCCCCCACCCTGGGGGTATCCCCCTGGCTCTGAGGGGTCTTTTGTACCTTCTTTGATTTCTTTGCTTTCCCCTTCTTGTTGGAGTTTTTTTGCAGGGTCTCTGGGGTCTCCTCCTCGCTCTCAGCCCCTTTGGGAGGAACTGCGGGCAGGAACAGACGGGCACAGAAGGGAGAAGATCCTGACTCAACTGAGCCGCAAAATCAAGCACAGCACAGACCTGTGCCAACATAAGGGTTGTAACCCCCTCTCCATGGCCAAACTTACTGCACCTCCAGAAGCCCTGCCCGAGCCCACCACCCTCCAGTGCCAAGCTCTCACCTTTCTTTTTGGATTTTTTCTCTTTTGGGGGGTCCCCACCAGTCTGAAAGAGGGATGCTGGGTTTTTCTTCTCTGACCTAATGGGTTTGGTGCTGGAGTCAGAATCATCCTCCTCATCGCTGCTGGTGGAAGCTGTGAGGGACATGGGGCACATGGTCACACAACACTGGGTGCTGTTGGCTCAGGGTGATGCCAGCAGGCAGCAGGACTGGCTGCCACCCCCTCCTGCTCATCCCATACCTTTCTTCTTGCTTTTCTTCTCCTTCTTCACCTGGAACACGGACATTGGCTCCTTCTTGGTGCTTTTGGCAGATTTGGCTTTGCTGTCAGGGTCACTCTTGTCTTCTGCTGGGACAGAGGGGCTGATGACCAGCCAGGCAGAGGGATGGGAATGGGCAGCAATGGGGACAAGGAGGTGACAGGATTGGAGCAGCAGGAAGGGCTGAGCCGGGGGGAGATTGCATGGGGAGGGGGTGATGGCTCTGCAGCCCTGTGAGCCTCCCAGGACAGTGACAAGAACGGGGTGCAAGGCACTGCCCTCAACCCAGCAAGGACAGATGCCAGTGGCAACAGAGATAGGCTAAAGCCATCCCTGTCCCCTGGGCACTCACCCTTTGTCTTCAGCTTCTTCTCCCCCCCACCTGAGAGGGGCTCTTTGGGAAGCTTCTTCTTGAGCTTTTTCGGTGGGTTTTTATTCTCCACCTCTTCTTCCTCTTCCTCATCATCCTCATCCTCAGCTGGCTCTGCCCAGAGGTGACCATGGCATCAGCCAACGCAACGTCCTTAGGCAGTGGGGGATCCCAGCCTCGTGGTGAGTGAGGAGGGTCCCTGGGGGCAGCTGTGGCCCATGCTGTCCCCAGCCCATGCTGTCCCCTGGCTGTGGCCATGCTGTCCCCAGCCCATGCTGTCCCCTGGCAGTGGCCCATGCTGTCCCCAGGCTGTGGCCATGCTGTCCCCAGGCTGTGGCCCATGCTGTCCCCAGCCCATGCTGTCCCCAGCCCATGCTGTCCCCAGCCCATGCTGT